CCTGTACTATTTTCAATGTATTATCCATACTCAGGATCATTGCATATGACGGAAAAGCCAAATTCTTCACAGAACATTTCTTTGCTTTCAAAAATTCATTTATTTAATCCAAGGTCTGGCATACAGCTATTTTCTTTCTTTTTTTAATCTTTGTTAATATTGAAGTCAAGATTAAATATTCTTAAGCTATCCATGGGATATTGGTAATATTTTAGACAAAATAATAGGAAAGAATGATTGGTTTTTCTCTACAACCAGGATATTTTTAGGGAAGTGTCAAAATACGCAGGATGTTGGGAAACTGCCAACTAGGCTGAAAGCAAGAGTCAAGCAGGGGTTTAGTTTAGCGTCCAAGCACAGTTGCAAAAGACATTAACTTAACTTTCCCATGATCCATGAAGCCTTATCTAATACACCCACAAAAAGGCAAACAGCCTGTTAAAATTCTTCTAATATAGATGGAAGTCAATAAAGTTGCTTGCTTCAGCTATTTGATAGTGGCTCTGGTTGCTGGTATTTAACACAGGATGATAGTTAGTCAATTCTGATTAGAATTCAGATGTTTGAATCAGTGGTGGCATTCAAAAAAAATTATTACCAGTTCTGTGGGTGTGGCTTGGTGGCATGGCTTGGCTTGGTGGGCATGGCAGGGGAAGGATGCTGTAAAATCCTCATTCCCTCCCCACACCTGGGGAAAGGTTACTGCAAAATCCATTCCCTCCTCACTCCTGGGGGAAGGTTACTGCAAAATCTCCATTCCCTCCCCACCACACTAACCTGCTTTCCAGCTCCATTCTCCTCTGCAGGTCAACAAAAGAAGACCCAGCCGATCAGCTGGTACTCAGGAGGCAGAGAATAGATGGGGCGAGGCCTAGCAGAGGTATATATGCCAGTTCTCTGAACTACTCAAAATGTCCACTAACGGTTCTCCAGAACTGGTCAGAACCTGCTGAATACCACCTCTGGTTTGAATGTAAATGTGATGCTGACACACACAAAAGGTATAAGGCTTTGAGGTGATACCATGGCTTATCTACTTCAACTTTTCTTCATGGAAGTGGAAGCCAGTGCCAAAATCCTGGTATAGATCTGATATTGCAGATCAATTAAGGAAATTGTAGAGCAGAAGGATGTAAATTCTAATAATCATCTAGTTTGCTAATTAGATGGGAAGTCTCTGAGAGAAGATAAGCAAGAAATATGACTTCTCTATTTAGTACAAACATTATGTGTTATATCATTGATCTTAGAAAATTGCAGTCATTTCATTATTTACTATTTCTTAAAATTGCTTTAATTTCAACTAGTTTCAAAAACAGCAGTATCAGCAATATCATTTTTTATGTATAATTATGGTATTAAACTTTCCATATTGCTTTTCAAAGAGATTTGTCAGAGCATATTACCAATAACTCCAAAAGCTATGCAAGCAGATGTTTTTATATTTATATATTTCTCTGAGAATAGGTAAAGTATGTCTTTCATATTGATAGTTGGCATTTCTTAATTATAGTTTCCATTTACCATGCTTTGTAATAATGTCAGGTTTGGGGCTTACTAGAAAAAGAAAGCTATAGTTTTCATGAATGCTTTTCATGTCAGAAGAATTTCAAAATTCTTTTTAAAAGCCTGAAAAGCAGGAGAGAGTAATTCAGGTCAAGTTGATTGTTTATTTTTAAAAATGTAAGTTGCATTCCTGTTGCATAAAAATCAACACTTTAAAAATGTTGTAGTTCGAACTTTAAAATGTGAAAAAGGTGAGGGCAATGAACTGGCAATAGAACTTGATGTCCGCATCAAGTTTATACACTTGAGATATTCTACTGATGTTCTTGGCATGGCTTACAGGGCACTCCTTGGCTTCTAACATTTCTATCATTTTTTCCTCAAAACTGTCTTCATGTTCTCAGTAAAAATAGGTGTGTTTTTATTGTCATGCAAGTTTTGAAAATGCATTTTCATCCTTCCTATTCTTTTCAATAAAGAGCTGGTAAAGGCATAAAGATAGTGTTTTTTGCTCTGTAGGGTTACCATAATCATTAAGGAACAGAAAGCTATTTGTGGTCCATGACAACCTCTAAATGGATATCACTACTTTATTTTATTATTTTAACATTCTGTGTAGAAACATGCATGTTGGCACACACATTGAAGAGGGGGGGGGGGGCAATCCAGTGATATACTTGGGTAAAGTTTGTTTTTCTTCTGATGAAAGATAATCCAAGAGTTGAATAGGATTGTTAGTTTGGTGTTAATTTTGATGTTATTCTGTGTTCATCTGGGTGTTGATTACTGGTGGGGAGCTATTTTTGATATTTTTGTTCCCTTTTTGGCTTGTTCATTGTTTCTTTTGTACACTAGGTAGATGTTGTCTATGCCTCTGTCTATTGCTGGACATTTTGTCAGAATGCCAGGCTTCCAGGACTTTGGACTTGGCTCGGTCTAGAATGGTTGCAGTTTCCCAGTTGAAACTGGGTTAGGTCTTTCCATATATTGTGAAATTAAAGAGTTTTCATCATTTCTTCTGACTGCAGGTTGATGTTTGTAGATACATTCTGCTAATCTGCCTATTTGTCCTATAGGGTGGCTGTTACTGTTATTACACAGTAACTTGTAGAATGTATATGACTCCTGTTTTTTTTTTCCTTCTGGGGCTGCTGGGTCTTTCAGTTTACTTCAGACGTTTTGGGGGGCTTTAGTTCATTTGTCTGAAAATGTTGATTCCATTTGGTTATAATAGTTGATGGTTTCTGAAATGTTTTTGACAGGACAGTGCTACCCTTTTTACAGCTTGCATTGATTGTGCTAGGTTGAGTTGAGTGGTCAGGCACTTTTTTAATGAAGTTGCATGGATATCCTTTTAGTTGGAATAAAAAGTCTTGTGCAAAAGCAACCAAGAGAGAGTGCACCAGGGGTTTCTCTAATAAGAAACCCTTGGTGCGGTCTCTCTTGGTTGCTTTTGAGATATATTGATTCAACTGTACAGACTTATTTGCTTACTGTTATGTCCTTGGAACTCTAGGAGTTCCCACTCAGGTCCGTTCACATTGCGGGGGCGTTTTTGCCCCTCGCTCATTGGTTGGTTCTCCCCAGCAGCCAGCTATAAAAGCAGGCTGCGGGGTCCAACCAGTCGCTGATAGCTGCGAGCCAGTTCCAGGCTTGGCAAGCACGGTCAGTCCTTTATTGTTATAATAAAGTATTTGTTGCACTAATGCTCTGGTTCAGCCTCTCATTACCCAAACTTAACACTGGCGACGAAGGTGGGATGGCTACCAGAAGCACAATGCAACCGCTGAGTCACTAGCCGCCGATCCGCAGCCAGAGAGAGCGATCGGCCGGCGATAAGAGCAACGCTGATCCGCAGCCAGAGAGAGCGGTCAGCAAGCAACGAGAGCGAACGCTGATCCGCCGCCAGAGAAAGCGGTCAGCAAGCAACGAGAAGCGAACGCTGATCTGCAGCCAGAGAAAGCGGTCAGCCAGCAACGAAAGTGAGAAGCGTCTGTAGCCGCTTGTTAGCCTAGCTACAGGAAAAGTGAAGTGCTGCGAGCCGCAGCCGCTCGTTTCTTTAGGCGCGAAATTCAAATGGCTGTCATTTGAATTTCAAACCTAAAAGTACAGCGCGGTGCTGTAAGGCAAGTCACTGATGCCCACGCAGGCGCGAATTTCAAAACGCTGCCAACGGCTGGCAGCCTAACCTCGTGTCTAGCCCAGAGAGAAAGAGAGGATTGTGAAAAAGCCTCTCCAGAGCTGAAATCACTTGCCTGCCACAGGCACTAGAAACCCTCTGCTGCTGCCCCAGAGAGATTTTTTCCACAGATTGTACAACCGATTTCCTCACTATGAATTCCAATCCAGTCTTCCCAGCGTTCAAACCGGATGAGGAGAAGTGGGAGTCATACAAGAACCGCTTTAACCATTACATCGACGCAATTGGGCTGGCTGATGCAGGGGAGCACCGGAAAAAATCATATTTCCTGATCTACTGTGGAGCCATCATCTTTGACACTGCCACAGCACTCGTGGCTCCACGTGAGTTAAAAAACGTTCCATGGTCTGAACTGTTAGAAATCCTTACTAACCACTATTCTCCCAGACCTTCACAGATTGCCAGGCGATTCACCTTCCACATGAGGAAGCAATCAGACAAAGAGACCATCAACCAGTACATGGCCGCCCTCAGGACCGCAGCACTCCATTGTGGGTTTGGAACCTACCTGGAGGACATGCTCCTAGATCAACTAGTCTGCGGGGTCAAGGATCTCCACCTCCAAAGGCGCCTACTCGCTAAGAAGGACCTCAACCTCGCACAAGCCGTCGAGGAGGCCCTGGCAGCAGAACTGGCAGCACACTCAGCCACCGAAATCCATGGTCCAACTTCCAAGCTAACGACAGTTCCAGTCCACTCCGAGGAGGTGGTAGTAGAGGAAGCCCCTATTGATGAAACCGACATCCACTGCCTCACCAACGCCAGGCATCCGCAGGTAGGAGCCAAGCAAGAGAACAGCAGTCCACCCAAGCACATCACCCTGTGCCTGTCCTGTGGTGGATCTCATCCGAGGGCCGCCTGCAAATTCAAAGGAGCCACCTGCAACATCTGCCACAAAAGGGGGCACATCGCGAGAGTCTGTCAAGCCTCTCAAAACTCGGCACAAAGGCACCCCCCCTTCTCACATTCTGGACCTCAGAGGCAAGTATTGAACTGTCGCACTCACCACCATGCCAAACACACTTGCCATACCATTAGTAAAATCTCTCTCTCCGTTTTGTTAGAAGGTAAACCGTGTCGCATGGAGGTTGACACAGGGTCAGCGCTCTCAATTATCTCGTGGAGCACCCTCAAGAGGCTACAGCCCAGTCTATCAACAAGCCGGCTCCAGAAGTGCCAGTTTAGCCTGAAGGACTACCAGGGGAAGGTCATTCCTGTAATTGGCAGAGGCAAGTTCCTTGTCAACTTTAAAGCTTTCAAAGGTCACCTACCTCTAGTGGTAGTTAACGGCAATCTCCCCACACTCTTGGGGCTCGATTGGTTTCCCCATCTCGGCCTAGGGCTAACAGGAGTCCATGCTGTCTCAACCTCTGACACTGACTCCTTATTCGCTGATTACTCAGATGTATTCAGCGATGAGCTGGGGTGTTATAACGGTACCCCTATCTCATTCTCAGTCGACCCCCAGGCAGTCCCAATCAGGCTAAAACCGCGTAGAGTCCCATTCGCTATTCGGCCAAAACTAGATGCAGAATTGGATAAATTATTAAAACAAGGGGTCATTGAGCCAACAGATTTCGCCAAATGGGAGACGCCCATTGTCACACCCCTCAAAAAAGACGGTAGCCTGAGAATTTGCTCGGACTACAAGACCACAATTAATAAGTTTTTACAAGTTAGCGCTTACCCAGTGCCCGTCATTCAGCATTTATTACACACTTTTGAACCCGGCAACATTTTTGCCAAATTGGACATGTCTCAAGCGTATCAACAGTTCCCTGTTGACAACCAAACAGCGGAACTCCAGACCATTGTCACTCACAGGGGTGCTTTCCGGTGCAAGCGTCTCCAATTTGGCGTAAGTGTTGCCCCAGGCATTTTTCAATCCCTCATGGAGCGGATTTTGCAGGGCCTCCCTGGTGTAGTACCCTACTTCGACGACATCTTAGTCTCGGCCAGGGACAGACCCCAACTCTTCCAGAGAGTTCGAGCAGTGTTAGAGAGGTTCAGACAGCATGGCCTCAAATTAAAAAAAGAAAAATGTGCCATTGCCACTAGACAGGTGGACTTTCTGGGTTATAAAATTGACGCCTCAGGCATTCACCCCCTGGAGTCCAAGGTTAAGGCAATTCACGAGGCACCCACTCCAACCTCCAAAACTGAGCTGCAGGCCTTCTTGGGGCTATTGAACTTTTACGCGTCCTTCCTGCCCCATAAAGCATCAGTGGCAGAACCCCTGCACAGACTGTTGGATAAAAAGTTGCCTTGGCACTGGGGTCAAAAGGAAGACTCCGCTTTTCGCGCCGTTAAATCACTACTCACGTCAGAGGCGGTCCTTATTCAGTTCGACCCCAACCTTCCATTAGTGCTAGCAGCAGACGCATCCCCTTTTGGAATTGGGGCAGTATTAAGCCACAGGCTTCCCAATGGCTCCGAGGCTCCCATCGCTTTTTTCTCCAGGACGCTCTCTGCAACGGAGCGCAATTACAGCCAGATAGATAAGGAAGCTCTAGCAGCTGTTGCAGCAGTGAAGAAACTTCACGAATTTCTTTTTGGCCACTTTTTCGAGCTGGTCACGGATCATAAGCCTCTCCTGGGTCTACTAGCTGGGGACAAACAGACCCCTCAAGTCCTCTCTCCTAGAATGACAAGATGGACCCTTTTCCTAGCGGCATACTCGTATAGACTCATACACCGCCCAGGTAAAACATTGTCCCACGCAGACGCTCTCAGCCGCTGCCCCTTGCCGGCTCCAGCTGAAGACCCGGCTCCAGTCCACGCCATCTTTGAGGTCACGCAATTGGACCTCCCCATCACTGCCCTTGACATTGCGGCCAAATCCAAGACTGACACAACGATCGCCCAGGTACTGGACTGGGTGAGGAGGGGGTGGCTGGGCGGTGATGTTGAAAACAAATTTACACCTTTCAAGACCCGCCTGCAGGAATTATCCAGTTTGCAGGGCTGTCTGCTGTGGGGCACTCGAGTGGTCATCCCGACCTCACTGCGTACCCAAGTTCTGAAGGCGTTGCACGAGGGGCACCCTGGCATCGTCAGAATGAAGGCACTAGCACGCAGCTACGTATGGTGGCTGGGCCTTGACGAGGACATCATCAGATGGGTAAGCTCCTGCAATCCCTGCCAGGAATCCCGTCCAGCTCCTCCTATTGCCACCCCTACTAAGTGGGAAAGCGCCAGCGCTCCGTGGTCCAGAATTCACATCGACCTAGCCGGCCCATTGCACGGGAAAATGTTCCTAGTGGTCGTGGACTCCTACTCTAAATGGATTGACGTGGCACAACTATCCACGAACACCACGCTAGTGATTACCAAGGTATTAACTCGCCTGTTTGTAACACACGGGCTGCCTGACTCCATTGTTTCCGACAATGGCCCACAGTTCGCATCAGCCGAGTTCAGCCATTTCGCTGCCAACCTGGGCATCCGCCACATCTTCATGGCCCCATTTCATCCTGCCAGTAACGGATTGGCTGAAAGAGCCGTTAGGACCACTAAAGAAGCCCTAGCTAGGTTCACCAAGGATGACACCACAAACTCTCGCGTTTCCTGATGAGCCAGCACTCAACTCCGTGCTCAGTCACTAACAAGTCCCCAGCTGAGCTCCTAATGGGCAGACGCCTGAGGACTGTATTGGACAGACTTCACCCACATTACTGCCCTGACTCTCCCCTCGCTTCCACATTGGGGGTTAGGCATTTTATCTTACAGGAACCCGTATTCGCGAGGAACTTCGCTGGAGACCCTCTGTGGATCCCGGGCGAGATCGTGGCCATCACCGGACCCAGGTCATATCGGGTCAGACTGGAGGACGGCCGAGTATGGAGAAGGCACCTGGACCAGCTGCGAAGGCATCACAGCACCCTCGTCAGCAGTGACTCTGAAGTACAAACCGGGGCGAGGCCACAGCATCAACCCCACATCAGCACCAGTTCCGGTGACCTGCTTACACCAGCGGCCGATCCAGGGAATCCGAACACGGACAGCGACGTCCAGAAGGCTGACCAGTCCGAACCAGTCAATGGGAGCACGTCCCCAGTGACCAGCCCTACGAGTCCCGAGCCAACCCAATCCGAGGGGCGTGTTAGTGACTCCCTACCGATCCTGCCTTCCCCTACAGACTCTGAACTGACAGACAACCCACCAGAGCTGCGCCGTTCTGGGCGCCAGCATAAACCTCCTGCCTACCTCAAAGACTATGCGTGTTCGCATCTGGGGGGAAGGGGTGTTATGTCCTTGGAACTCTAGGAGTTTCCACTCAGGTCCATTCACATTGCGGGGGCGTTTTTGCCCCTCGCTCATTGGTTGGTTCTCCCCAGCAGCCAGCTATAAAAGCAGGCTGCGGGGTCCAACCAGTCGCTGATCGCTGCGAGCCAGTTCCAGGCTTGGCAAGCACGGTCAGTCCTTTATTGTTATAATAAAGTATTTGTTGCACTAATGCTCTGGTTCAGCCTCTCATTACCCAAACTTAACACTTACTATTACAGCATATTGTTGTGTCTAAAGAAGATATTCCTGTTCAGTGGTGGTATGCTACTGGTTTGGCCGAACTGGTAATTAAAAAAAAAAAGCCTCCTATCAGCTGAGAGGAGGAAAACAAGTCTGACTGAAAAGTGCCTGGGAGGGTAGAAGGTCGCTCCTAGCTTTTCATTTCTTCATCCTCTCAGCTGATTGGCTTGTTAGGGATGAATGCGTTAGGGGTGCATGCACATGTGCACGCACCTGCGATCACCCATCGAAATGGTAGCGACTAAGGTAGGATCCCACCACTGTTCCTGTTACTATTTACGAAGTCTCAACAAGGTGCTTCATATTGCACTGACAATATGATCCTCATTACCAAAGAGCTGCTGTGATTCATCAACAAGACACTATTTTTTACCTGAAATGATAGTGGATTGCACTTTCTCTATCCACCAATTAAATGGAAATATCACTGGAGTTCTGCTTATTCAATCATTCTTTTATATTGTTTGTTTCAACTCACCAAACTCAATTTGAAGCTCTTTAACCAAAAATTCTAGCCACTGAATGGGAAGTTTATAATTCAATGCCAAAGTGAAGTATCACCATTGGGCCACAGTGTCAAATGAGCTGATCTTTGAGAAGTTTTGCAGAAATCACTTGGGAGTGTATGTATTTTCTGTTCTTCATGCTAATGATCTCACTGTTCCTTTAACTTTCCCTGTTGTACTGGTTAGTTTCACTGAGATTAATGCCTGGAAGAAAAAACAAATCAGGAAACCTTTCAAGTACTTGTTCATAATGAACAGAAATATCTTAAATACTAGATAGAATAAAGCCCTGTAGAGCAGTACCAGTATTTTCTAGGACAAAGTGGAACATATTTTTGTTGCATTCTTTGCCCTCCTGTGATTACTTTGTATGAGGAGCTCTTGTTTGTTTTCACTTCTATCTGCTTAATGGCCCATTGCAGCACAAATAGTGCTCTTTACAATAAGAAAAATGCCCAGAATGTGGGTAATCAGTAATCAACCTCTGAATAAGAAAATGAGAAAACACCATCACAGGAGGAAATCATTAAGAAAATATTGGAACATGCTGAAATGAGTAGATTGACATTTGAAATTAGAGGACAAGAGGATAAACAATTTTATAAAATTTGGGATCTATTCTATCAATGGTTAGACAATAAAATACAGTAATAAAATATGTAGACTTTTAGAAAATAATAAATATATAAAGATGTACTTCTTTCTTATTATATCTACAAAATGATTTTAGGATAGATTTGGGATGATAATATGAACAGTTATAAAACAAACTAAATAAATTATGATTATCTTGTAAAACATGAATGAATAAAAGTATAGTCAAATGATTGATTAATAATGATACTAAGGTATTTAATTTTTGATTGAAAATATGAGATTATATGCAATGTAATTGTAATTGAAGACTATGAAATGGAAGCACAAAACAATTTGTAAACCAATCGGCACACTGTATGTATACATATGGAAGATGGCTTGATGTTTTTATGTTTTGTTTATTTATGTTTATTTTTAAAAACCAATAAAAACTTAAAAACAAAAAATATATAAATAAAAATAAAAAAATAAAAATGAATAAATAATATAAATTAAAAAAAAAAAACCCTCTCTTTACACCTTTGCTTCTGAAATCTAAATGACCCATTTAATTTCCTGGAAATCTGAAAAGTTGGGACAGCTGCAAGTTGATGTGCCATTTATAAAATGAGCAATTAGAAAATATGATGACATTGTATTGGCTTTTGTCTTAGGTTAATATCACATTATTTCTCAGGGCAGTTAGGATTTTGCAGTTAAAACCAGTGTTTTCCAACCTTGGCAACTTTAAGATGTGTGGACTTCAGCTCCCAAAATTCCCCAGCTAGCAATTCCACACATCTTAAAGCTGCCCTGTTGAAAAACAATTGTCTAAACTTTCAAGGTCATTTCAGAAAGAAATGATCTCTTTATTTTGCCTCCACTGGACTTGTCAAGCAATGCTCTTGTAGCCCTCAGGCAGCTGGGTCCAGTTCCCATACTGGTATTTGTCAAGACTTTTTTCTGTGGATATAGACTTTTTACTACAACAATACCAACTGCAGGCAGGGCAATGGGAGCAGACCCAGATAACTACACCCAAATCCCACCTCTTTTCTGAAAACATTGTGCCATCACACATGCAGAAATGAAAGCAGGGATATCCTACAGAATCCTTATAGATGTCTCTTGTCCATGGGTTTCATATTGTTTTATAAAAACTGAAAGAAGTCATATTTCCCAAGGAGAGTCTAAAGTGAGATATGTTGCCCTGCCCAACTCCATTTGCAGTTGTAGAATTCAAAGGAAGATTCTGAAAATGGATATCTTATTTTTCCAGCCATGATGCTAAAAGAAGATTGTGACTGAATGTCAACATGTCATCACCTGATATTGAAGTCAAGTTACTAAAATGATTTTCCCAAACTGCTGATTAGTGTGGCATTTTTGAAAATAAAGAAATAAATAGTTGATTAGAGGCTTGTTGGTTTGATATTTTTTTGCATGCATATAAAAGAGAAGTTGATGGGTTGTGCTTGAAGGCAAAGGATCATTCATAACTCCCTTTAATAAATAGCTAGGCTTAATAGATTCAAACTTAGCTACCTTGAGAACTTTGTCTTTGTGAAATGACTAATTGGCTTGTAAGTCAATGCATCTCTGATTACATAAGTGAGTCCTTGATTTATGGCCACAATTTGGCCCAGAAAATGTAATTAAGCAGTGCAATTGTTACGTGATGATCACATGATTACGATTTGCAATTTTCCTTTCTGACTTTACCATTGACTTTGCTTGTTGGAAGCCAATTGGGAAGATGGGAAATGGCCCTAGGATGCTGCAGTGGTCACAAAACACAATGCCACTTGCCATGCACCTGAATTGTGACCACATGACCACAAGGATAATGCAACAGTCATAAGAGTGAGGATTGACCATAAGTACTTTTTTCAGAGCCATCATAATTTTGCATGGTTGCCAAAAGAATAGTCATAACTCAAGGACTACTTTAAAATACTTAGTTATATGTCAGCATGGGAAAATCTAAGTATGAGAAATTAGCAAGAAAGAAATGGCGTGAAGATGTCAGGGTTTTAGACTAGATTAAGAGATTGAAGAAACTCCACAAGGTAAAGGCAAGCCACATCCATACTACTGGGAAGAAATTGGCACATATATTTCCATGAAGTCAGCACCAACTGAGTTCAGTTGAATGTTACTTTTAAAATCCATTTCTCCAAATGTTTAAAACAAATTTAAATTAAAATCAGTGGTAGATCATTTTATTTTTTAAATGTTTCCAGTAATAGAGTGCACACAAATTCTGAAGGCAAGCTGTTGTACTCATTTATTGTTTCACTCTTAGGACATTTCTCTGTAGTTCAAGGTTGCTTCTCTCTTTGATTAGTTTCCATCTATTGTTTCTTGTCTTGCCTTTGGTGCTTTGGAAAATAGGTGTCCCCCCCGCCATTTTTGTGATTAATTAGAAAACTAATGACAAACGTATGGGAATTTTAACAATATTTTGGGGGTTCTGGAAATAACTTTTCAAAACACATGAAGAAAATATGTCTATGGAATATATTCCTCCCCTGACTTGGATCCTGGGCAAAGGAGACTGTAGGAACATATAAAAAATGCCTTCCTTCTGTTCTGAAGTTATATAAAATACTCTAATGTTCAAAAGGAAAAAAAATAGGGTTATGAAATGAAAACATATTTTTCTTGTTATTTTTCTTAGGCCAAGATATTTTAACCAAATACAGCCATTCATTAGAAGCTTGCATTTCTCTTTTCTTTAGGCCTCCTTAGAACTGGTATCTTTGAATAGTTGTACCTATACCTTTTCTAATAATACCAGACTAATTTAATGTCATTGATACAAGGATGAACTAACTGATGCATTCATATTGATGGTGTGATACTGGAATGCCAAATGGACACTGATGGCTTATCTAAAGTACAAAGATTGAGAAGCAAGTTATAATTGATAATGAAACATAATAAGCTGAATTATTGATAAAGGACAAAAGACGTTGCCTTTTCCTATTTTTGCTGCAAGCTGGCTATCCTTCTGGAAAAAAGTATCTCTGACATAATTTCAATGTAACTGAAGCAGAAATATGGATATACTCAAGATATGCTAAGAAGCTTCATCTATACAGGTAAAACTCAAAGAATTAGAATATCATGCAAAAGTTCATTTATTTCAGTAACGCAAGTTAAAAGGTGAACCTAATATATGAGATAGACTCATTACAT